ATGACTTCATCTTTAAAAGGATGTTATTGAGTTGGGAAGGGGAAGACAAAGGAAGCTGATACAGGCCTCTGCATATGTTTTAAATATACTTGCATTCATACCTACACTCTAGTCATGAGCAGAATTCCACCAGACTTACAGTGCCTAGTATAATTAATATTTTTATTGAATATGTATTACATATTTCATACAGATAATTCATTCCTTATATATTATACTCCTTTTCAAACAAAAAGGAAAAGGAAACGAGGTTACGTTCCGTCTGTTTATAACTTAATCCCAATCTGATTTGTATCCTCTTCTTGTGCTTATTTTCTTATACTACCTGCTTATAATACCACCATACAACTTCCTCCAAGCCATATTCTATCCTTTATATATCTTTAAATCTTCAATACCTTCTTACTCTTTCTACTGACTTCCATTCTTATTCACTCAGACTTTTGTATTATTCTATCTTCTTCAGGGCAGCTGCGGTGGCTCAAGTGGTTAAGACGCTGAACTGCAGGCTGTGAGAGGTCGGTAGTTCAGCAGTTCGAGACCCGAGTTGCCGCGTGACGGAGTGAGCTCCCGTCTCTAGTTCCAGCTCCTGCCAGCCTAGCAGTTCGAAAGCAATACATTGCAAGTAGATAAATAGGTACCACTTCGGTGGGAAGGTAACAGCGTTCCGTGCGCCTTGGTGTTTAGTCATGCCGGCCACATGACCACAGAAATGTCTTCGGACAGCGCTGGCTCTTCAGCTTTGAAACGGAGATGAGCACCGCAACTCTAGAGTCGGACTCGACTGGCTTTCGAGCAAGGGAACCTTTACCTTTACCTTTTACATCCTCGATCCCTACCAGTCCGGCTTTCACCCGGGTCATGGGACGGAGACGGTGTTGGTCGCCCTGACTGACGATCTCCGTAGGCATCTGGATCGGGGTGGTGTGGCAGCACTGGTGTTGTTAGATCTGTCGGCCGCGTTCGACACAATCGACCACCAGCTGCTGGCCTCCCGGAATGGTCCTCTAATGTAGCCAATCCTAATGAGTTTATGCTGTTGGGTGTGGCCTATTATGCTAATGAGTTCCTGCTGGTGTGGCCAACTCAGGAGCCAGCCGGAACTCCGTTCCTGTGCGTTCCTGCCCCAAAATAGCCCTGGCTGTAACGCTTCTCTACAGATGTGCAGGAGAACGTTGTATTGTGCAGAGGTCTCTCATCCTCCGTGAGAGATTCCTGGTTCCCAGCTTTCGCCACCTAACTGTTTCCTAACTCAGCCCACGCGTGAGAGGGTACCATGCCATGGGGGGGGGGTGCATATGAATACCCTATATCCTATTTGGTTCTATTGATTGCCGCCATTCCTAACAGTGCCTGTGTTACTGCATCTATAGCTTTGCAATAAAAGTATAACCGTTCTTGAATGCGTGTACTTCGTTGTTAGCTGTGGGTTCTGACACCAACCTAGCAGTTCAAAAGCAAGAAATTGCAAGTAGATAAATAGGTACCACTTCGGTGGGGAGGTAACCGCGTTCCGTGCGCCTTGACGTCTCGTTATGCTGGCCACATGACCACAGAAACGTCTTCAGACAGTGCTGGCTCTTCGGCTTGGAAACAGAGATGAGCACTGCATCCCTAGAGTCGGATTTGACTGGCTTTCGAGCAAGGGAGACCTTTACCTATGATAAATGAGAAGTGAGCATCATCTGTTGGTGAGTTTGAGTAATGGCATGTCAGACTGGAAAACGAAGAGGGAAAGTTTTGTTTCTGTGTCTTTGAAACTATGTGAAAGTGCATGTATACTATTATTTGGGAGGTTTGTGTATCTTTTTTTATGTTGCTAGGTATTTATATGAAAGAGAAGTGATTTATAAGAATTAAGCTTCATCCAAGCGCTGGGTAGTTGTGGTCGTTATCATGAAGTTGTTAAAATACTCAGGGGTCATTTCATAGAAAAAGAGGTGCAGGAGCTCATTAGCATAACTCATTAGCATAACTTATTTGCATATGCCACACCCCCTGACATCACCGGAAGTGTGTCAGAAGGCAACACCCACCACTCAGGCTCCACTGGACTGTTTTGGATTGCTACCTATTGGGGGGGGGACGTGCAGATCTGCCCTCACAGAGGAGGGAGAGCTTGTACCTGAATAAAACTCGGTCTTAAAGGTGCCACTGGACAGTTTTGGACCGGGGGGGGCACTGCAACTTACCTGGCTGCTTCTTGCTCTGACTGAGGGCTGCTGGGAGCAGGGGGTGGAGCTTGTTGCATGTGCCCACCCCCTGGGCTCTTTACTGCCGGAGCTCCGCTCCTGTGCGCTCCTGCAGGAAATGACCCTTGGGCAAAGTAGGCACAGTGCCTAGGGCCCACGATACTTTTAGGGACCCATGAAAAATGTTTTGATTTCTTTTAAAATCAGTAAAAAGCGATGAACTTTTAGGGTCGAAGAAAATGTATAATTTTTTTTTTCTCACATCAGAAAAAAATTGCCTAGAACAGGGGGAAAATGTTGGAGTATTTGAAGTAATATCAAAAATAATTTTAATACTGATATTATTATGTTGGGAGGGGCCCACAAAGGCAAAAGTGCCTGGGGCCCACGGAAGTCTTAATGTGGCCCTGCTCAGAAGGGTATAATACCATGCAGCCCGCATTCCAAAGTAGCCATTTTATCCAGGAAAGGTGGAATAAACATTTTTTAAAAGTAAACAAACAATAAATAAGGGATGCCCATAGTCTGAAGAGTGGAGTTGTGGTGGCTCAAGTGGTTAAGACGCTGAACTGCAGGCTGTGGAAGGTCGGTAGTTCAGCAGTTTGAGACCCAGGGGTGCCGCATGACGGAGTGAGCTCCCATCTCTAGTTCCAGCTCCTGCCCACCTAGCAGTTCAAAAGCAAGACATTGCAAGTAGATAAATAGGTACCCCTTCAGTGGGAAGGGAACACCGTTCCGTGCGCCTTGGTGTTTAGTCATGCCGGCCACATGACCACGGAAACGTCTTCGGACAGCGCTGGCTCTTCGGCTTGGAAACGGAGATGAGCACCGCAACCCTAGAGTCGGACTCGACTGGCTTTCGAGCAAGGGAACCTTTACCTTTATAGTCTGAAGAACAGTTGTAATCCCAGATCTCCAGCCCCTACCTGGAGGTTTGCAACCCTACTTTGCTGCCTTCAGTGTTACGCTTAAGAGATCCAACAGAATGCGCCACTTTGGGTTTCTCCCTAAACTTCGCACTGTGATATAAAAGCGGTCTACCCGCATCTGAAGAAGTGTGCATGTGCAAGAGAGCCGATGCCCAGAATGAAGCTTTGCTGGTCTTAAAGGTGCCGCGGGACTCAGACTTCTTCCTTGTGTGGCTTCAGACCAACACCGCCGGACCCACCTGAACCTAAGAACCTAAGAACATAAGAACGTAAGAGAAGCCCATGTTGGATCAGGTCAAAGGCCCATCCAGTCCAACGCTCTGTGTCACACAGTGGCCAGAAATACCAGACGCCATCAGGAGGTCCAGCAGTGGGGCTACGACACTAGAAGCCCTCCCACTGTTGCCCCCCCCCTCCAAGAATACAGAGCATCACTTGCCCCGGAGTCCCTATCTATTTTGTTGTTGTTCAGTCGCACAGTCAAGTCCGACTCTTCGCGACCCCATGGACCAGATCACGATAGGCCTTCCGGTCTTCAGCCGTCCTCTGAAGTTGGCTCAATTTCATGTTCGTTGCATCTATGACACTGTCGAACCATCTCATCCTTTGCCGTCCCCGTCTTCTTTGACCTTCAACCTTTCCCAGCATCAGGGTCTTCTTCTCCAGGGAGTGCTCCCTTCTCATTTGGTGGCCAAAGTATTTGAGCTTCAGTTTCATTATCTGGCCTTCCAGGGAACAGTCAGGGTTGATTTCTTTTAGGATTGACTGATTTGATCTCCTTGCAGTCCAAGGGACTCTCAAGAGTTTTCTCCAGCACCATAGTTCGAAAGAATTTATTCTTCGGCGCTCGGCCTTCCTTATAGTCCAACTCTCGCAGCCATACATGACTACTGGGAATACCATTGCTTTGACCATGCGGACTTTGGTTGGCAGGGTGAGGTCTCTACTTTTTAGCATGCTGTTGAGGTGCGCCATCGCTTTCCTCCCAAGGAGCAGGCGACTTTTAATTTCATGGCTGCTGTCACAGTCTGCGGTGATCTGGGATCCCAGGAACGTGACGCCTGTCACTACTCCCACAACTTCCCCTTCTATTTGCCAAGGAGTGATGGGGCCAGATGCCATGATCTTAGTTTTTTTGATGTTGAGCTTCAAGCCCAGTTTTGCACTCTCCTCTTTTACCCTGAGCAAGAGGCTCTTGAGGTCCTCTTCACTTTCTGCCATTAGAGTGGTATCGTCTGTATATATAGAGTGGTATATGCCTATCTATAGGTAAAGGTAAAGGTTCCCTTGCTCGAAAGCCGGTTGAATCCGACTCTTGGGTTGCGGTGCTCATCTCCGTTTCTTGGCCGAAGAGCCAGCACTGTCCAAAGACCGTTCTGTGGTCATGTGGCCGGCATGACTAAACACCAAGGCGCACGGAACGCTGTTACCTTCCCACCGAAGCGGTACCTATTTATCTACTTGCAATTTCTTGCTTTCAAACTGCTAGGTTGGCAGGAGCTGGAACTAGAGACAGGAGCTCACTCCATCATGCGGCACTTGGGTCTCCAACTGCTGAACTACTGACCTTCCATAGCCTGTAGTTCAGCTGTGGCTAATAGCCACCAATGGACGTCTGCTCCATATTGCTTATTTAATTCCCTCTTTAAGCCTACCCGCACTCCGTTCCTTTTCCTGCAGATGGCGATGGCGTACAGACGTGAGCCGCTGATGCTTGGAAACAACAACAAAAAAAGTGCTAATTTGAATAAAGTTGGCTGATGGGCACCTATTGGGCGACGCGCAGGGCGTAGCGCACGAAGCGGAACGGCGATTGGCTGAGACGCGCTTCACCCGGACCGGGGCCGTGTGGGCAGGCTTGGGAAGGTCAAAAGCAAAGCAGCGGCTGGGAGCGATCGATAAAGAGGAGCTCGGCCGGTCCGCCGCTTGTGGTGCCCAGAGAGCCAGGTGAGTTGGGGGGTTTTTTGGGGCAGGGCTGCCAGGGGAGAGGCGCTCGTGCCCGGCGCGCCCTCTTGTGCAAAGCCGGCGGGATGCCCGGGATACGCGTCTTCCGGCCGGGCCGAAGTTCGTCCTGCAGCGCTGGAAAGGCGCCTGTCAGCGGAGGGCAAAGAGCGTC